AAGCTTTCAGGTGTGATGACCAAGTACTGCTTTCTGGAAGTTCACTGAGCTTCTCCAGGCATTCCCATGCATCTCTGTAGCAAAACCAGGCTAAATATTGCTGTGTGGCATTAAAAGCATCCTTCCTCTCTCCCCAGAGAAAGTGCCACTGCAAGGGGAGTGAATCTATTTTCTGACTATAAGTGCAAATGTGAAGAAGAGGGGATGGAGAAGCAGCATTGTTTGCGAGGTGTGCAGCTCTGTGTTTCGGCATGGTGCTGGATACCATAGGAATAGGATACTGCTTATTTTCATGCAAGAGTAAAGACCAAGACACTCTGACATCAGTCATTTTGAGACCTCATTTGCAATGAGAATTTAATTTCTTTTTCTCCCTTCTTTTGGCAGCCTTATTTTTTTATATATTTTTTTAAGCAGGTATTTCTAGCATTGCTTATATAGTGGAATTGTCTTTCATTTCAGGGTGTTCTGCAGATCAGCTGTGAATGAGGGCTAATGTTTGTGTGCAGCAGATGCCCAGAGTCACAGGGGAGCCCTGACCATGCAGCACCGCCTCAGTAGAGGCAGCAGTTGTGCTGAGCATCCCTGCTGCCTGTCGCCCTTTCTCCTCTGCCTGGGACCTCAGCCCTTCTGGCTCCTGTGTCCAGCAGCCTCGTGTCTGCTGATGGGACGGATGTAGGTCAGGAACAAGTTAGAGTGCTTTGGCTACCGCAGGGATGGTTACACAGTTATCCAGGCAGACTTCAGGAATGGAAAATGGCTTTGTTAGTGGCCAAGTGCAGTGTGTTGAGTCCCTTGCCAAGACTGTGTATGAGCCTCAGATGCATTTTTATGAACAATTATGCTATCTGCTCTTATAAAGTCTCAAGAACATAAAGGAAGTGCTATAAAAGCAGTGCCTGTGGAGGATCCCACATAAGGTGACTGATAAACTTCGGAGCTTTCAGCATTTGTTATTTCCAAGGGGATTTCTTATTTTAGGTGACTTTCACGCAGCCTGCAGCCTCCAGTCCCACTACTGCCATTGTTAAATTACCCAGTAATGAGACTGCTGCAAGTGTCCTTGTTCCTGAAGCTCTCCAAGTTCACCTGGTCAGGCTGTGAGTGGCTCAGTCTTGCATGATAGTTGTTATACGTAGAAATACCAGATTGCCAGATTCTCATAATGGCAATTTTAAGCTCTTCCACGTGGGATCCTCATCAATTTAAAGAACTTGAAATTGTCCATAAATCTTTTGTGATTTCAGTCAGTGCTTTGCATCATCATTACTTAATAATTTATTAATTCTGCATCCAGTATGGAGCAATCGTTGTCTGGATACGACCCTGCTGTAGCTGCGAAGTTGTGGGACAGCCTGATGCTGGCAGGGGATGGGTAGGGCTAGCCTGCCTTGTGTGTGTGTGTGTATATATATATATGCATGCATACTGAAGATTGTTTCACGCATTGGAATGACATCACTGTATTGTCTTGGTTCAGGTCACTGAGCTTCCCAATTATGATGCAGCAATTTCAAGAGCATGTGTTTAAGCAGTAGAGGTATTTTTAGTTTGCTGTGGCCCTTGTAGGTAAGTTACCATTTGTCATCTTACCATGCTGAATTTGCAGAAGGAACTAAGGATGGTCCTAGCCCTCTTGCCAAAGAGCTTTACCAATTTTAGGACTTCCTTCTTAGTACAGGCGGAGGAGTCCTCCTGTCACATATGCAGCGACAGTTCAACGTGCTGCAGCCTTGCACCAGAAGTTTAGAAAAGTACAGCTTCTGCTGTTGCAGAAAATCCAGGCAGAAAGTCACCCAAGAGCTCGCATTTGCAGTCCGCTCCTCGTAATCCTTGCAGGAGGCCGAGCACCCCCTCTCAGCGTGGGAGGGCAGGCGAGGGCTCTGCATCTCTCGCAGAAGGTGCCTGCGGTCCGGCGGGGCTGGCAGCGCCCGGGGTTCCTGCTGCTGCTGGGAGCCGCTTCCTCCTCCGCCTGCCAGGCTGGCGTGGGCTTGCCAGGAGCATGCCGGAGCCTGCCAGGCTGTGGCATGGCAAAATCCCTGAGCTGCATGGAGAAGCACTTGAACTAAAGAATTACCCACAAATACCTGTCATCTTCCTTCCTCCTGTTGTGTCCGTGAGCCTCTTGGCTGATAATCGAGCCTGAGATGTGCTGGGGAAAGAGAACTTGGGGCTGCCCAGTTCGGCAAGCCCTGATGCACAACTTCTCCAATAACCACAAGTTGCGTTTCTCCTGCACGCGTATGCGTGTACGTGGTGGTATGCATGTGCTTTGTCTTGTTTGGTGATGCACCGAGTTTGGGAGCTAACTGTTAATGTATTGTAAGCTCATAAGGTGATGGAGGGAAAGCTGTGACTTGTGGCCTGGATGCTGTCTGAGCTGGGATGTGATGCTAGTTGAAATGGTAAACTCTGCTGTCACCAAAATCATTTCTTTCCCCTCTCGCTCTCGTGTCCTCTGTTGCCCCTCTACCCTTGCCTCCCAAAAATGGCCAGGAGTTTGGGTGTTTATAAATCAGCCAAACTTGATGTTTTGAGAGCTGCCTGTCAGCTTAGGTCAGGTGTGGGTCTGGTCCATCACGTTAAAAAAGAAATGGCTCACCACTGGGCAGTGAGGTGTGGTGTGAGTGTCTGAGTGCTGTAGCGTGGGGCTGTGGGTCCTGCGTGCACGCTCGGGGAGCGACTGGCTGGCCCGAGGGATCGTTGGTTGAGCACGGGATTCGTCCTCTGGGTTGCACAGATCTGCAAGACTATGCAAGGAGGCTGTAGGGTACTTGGGCAAAGAGCAGGTGGAAATGGGGCTTCCCCCTGGATTTGGTGGGCTGCAGAGCTTGAGGGGGTCTAGGCACTAATTTGGAAAGGAAAAAATAGTGTTAGTACAGAAGAGAGGGAGTTGAATTAGTGATGGCGCTATTATTGCTAGCGTTAGGCCAGCAGTGAATTGGCACATCTGTGGGAGCCAGGCAGGGAACAAGATGGGACAGAGGCTGTCCGGGGTGTCGTGGTGTGCTGTCCTGTACTGCTCTGGCCCCGTCGAGTCCCAAGGGTGCATGCATGGTGAAGGGAGCGAGCACGATGCTGTGCTCCTGCTGCCAAGCTTCTCTGCTGGCTTTTTTGCTAGGAATGCTTTGCAAATATATCCTGTTGGGGTCCATCAGCTACAGGTGACTAAAGTGAGAAAAATATACTTAATCACAAACCTTAGGAAAAGTTAAAGAATATGTTGTTTATTATGGATTGTTTATAAAGATGTTCACAGCATTAAAAAGGCTATTGCTGTGGATGGACCAAAATGGCTGCAAGTGCCTTGTCTTCTCAGTGGAGTGCATTTCTGTGCAACACTTTCACTGGGGGCAGAAAGCTAAGTTTCTCAAGGTGAGCACGTGCAGTAATACGCTGTTGCTGGGAGCTGACCCACACAGCTGAGGTGTCTAGCTGCCTTCTGCAGGTGGGGTGTGTGTGGTGGTGGGGAGGGCCTGGGGGGCTGCTCTCCCCTCTCCCCTTGGCATCTGGGAACAGGCAGTCATTGCACAGACCGTTTCATCATCCGACCTCTGGGATTCTGGCTTGTCTGATCCCTCCGCTGTGCAGCTGCCCCCTCTGGAAGCCTGCTCAGCCCAATTGTTCTCACTCTGAATATTTTTTTTTCTATGTCTAGTCTCATTTTTTCCCTCCTGTTTGCAGCTCTGCATGCCTGCTCCCTGCAGGGCTCCCCTTCCCGCCGGGCAGAGCCCAGCTGCTGCTCCTGCAAGGGAGAGCAACTGCCTGTACAGGCTTCCTTGCTGTGCAGTGTTTCCAAGAGCTGCTGAACACCTTCCCCGTGTTTGGGAAGTGGTTTGGAAGGTGTATTTCTGTCACACCCTGTGCCACGGGTGCTGCGCTGCTCCTCTTGCAGAGAGGGCGAAGGGTCTGACTGCACTTTGTGAGCAGCGTTTCCTTCTCTGGTGCTTGCCTGTCTTCCCGGGATAAGCCCCATGTTGGGGATTTGCAGCCTCGGCTGCGTTATGTGAGAAGGGGGAGCTGGAAAAAGTGCAATTGGTCTTTTACCATGGGAGAGAAGTATCCTCAAAATGAAGTTGATCAAGGCGAAAAATACAACTCCGACGCAAAAACAGGAGAAACATTAAACCAGTCTTACAATAATTTGAATGTGCTGAACAGAATTGGTGTGCCAGATAGGAGTCAGGACTGGAGAACAGGTCTGTCTGCTGCTTGTGGGGTGCTTGTTCATGGCAGGAGGCAGCAGGCACCCTGGCGATGCTGCGGCCGAGATTCAGGCTGCCCAAGGCTCCCACCCTCTCTCCCTCTTCTGCACAGGCACCCTCCGGGCACTGCAGAGCCCCTCTTCGGCAAAGGTTGCGGGGGGTCGTAGTGTATCTGTCACAGTGTCTGAAGGTCCTTATGAGAAAGCAAAACCACCTGGAACAGATAAAGTCTGTGGTGGTTTGTGAGCTGGAGTTTGGGGGGTCTGACAGACTTTTTAAGCCTTTGAGCCAAAGACAAGTTTGATTTGCCAGTTAACCTGGCAGCACTGGGAGGACGTGGGTGAGAGGAGTTGGCATTTACAGTGCCAGCTTCCCTCAGGTCATTGTCAGCTCTTTAGGGGGAATTCAAATGGTCGTTCATCAAGAAATAATATGTTAGTTTATATGCAGAGAATACAGGATTTCAGGTAGTACTAGATAAATTGAAGTATCATTTTCTAGTTTCAAAAAGGCAACTGAAAAGCTCTGAGGGTTGGTCTCTGTGTACTTACACAGCTGTTTATTTTGACAAAGAGCAAGGTTTTAATATGAGGCTGGTGAATGAAATTCTTCTGCTCTCTCTTGGAAAAAAAAAATCTGTTGGCTTTAGCAAGCCTTGAATTAAACATGAGGCTTGTGAGGGAGCCTGCTCTAGCACTGCCTGTGCAGTTTGCTCTGAGACAAGGAAAGACAACCTTCCTAGCCAGTGTTTGTTGCTGACATTGTATTTTCTTCTTCTCTCTTGTGTGCACGCAGAAATCCGAACTCAGCTGGTCGAGCAGTTCAAATGTCTGGAGCAGCAGTCGGAGTCGCGCCTGCAACTGCTGCAGGACCTGCAGGAGTTCTTCCGCAGGAAGGCTGAGATCGAGCTGGAGTACTCCAGGAGCCTGGAGAAACTGGCTGAACGATTCTCCTCCAAGATACGCAGCTCCAGAGAGCACCAGTTCAAGTAAGCAGGTGTTTCCAGGGGCAAAATGGTACAAAATGTTGGGCCAGAGACTGCCTGGAACAGTAGATGTTTGTAGCTGCACAGTTCGAAAGTGGAGTAGCAACAGTGGTGACCTTGTCTGTCTTATCACTGTTCAGGGTTCACAACAAGAACTCAAACAGCCTTTTTCCAAGACTTTCACCACAGCATTACTGACCTGTGCTGCCCAAATTAGACTTACTATGCACTTCTTTGAGCAGTACAATAAAAATATGAATCAGGGACTAGGAAGGAGTCAAGCCCCTTGATTTTTTTTTTTTTTTTAAGAGGCTTGAATTCAGCCACTGATTTGATTGTGCAAATAATGGTAGGCCCATTTCATAAACCCTGTTTTCTGTATGTAGTCCAATCCTTAGAAGTCAGAGTGCTTCACATTGCACACAGATCTGCTTACAGGCTCAGACTTGGCAGCAGTTTCTGGAAATCTAATTTACTACAGTTTTTTAAAATGAAGTATGTATATGTTTTCTGTGTATACACCCTTACAGTGTTGAAGCTAAGCAAATCCATAGTGGAAATATTTTGAAACAAAGCTTTGAAATAGGAAGTATGAACTGGATGCTGGAATTGTGTGAAGCTCAAACAGATGATGAAAACTGTAAAATCCGTGAATGTGTGAATATGTGCAAGTTTTCAAAAGCAGCTTCTTTTCAGTTTAACCACACTCTCAAGCTTGGCGAAAACAAAAAGATCCAAAAAAAAAAAAAAAAAAAAGAAACAAACTCAAGTCAGAATTTAAGTCTGGAGGTGACTGGTTTGTGATGAGGATACATAGCTTGTGCCGTTACGCTGGCTGGTTGGCGGCTGTGACTTCAAGGCTCCTGTGAATACCACTGTCCCGTCGCTGTTGGAGGAGCTGGTCCCTGCTCTCCGGGTGCACTCGAGTGTGCCCAGTTGGAGGTGTCAGGCTGGGCTCCACAGGACGATGCTCAGCGTTCGCACGTGTGTGTTGGTAGCTGTCAGGGTTTTCCTCCCTGCTGCTCCTCATGTTCCTTGCTGCAACCGGCTCTCCCCAGCAGTTTCTCGGGGTGCAGGGTCTCGCTGGGCAGCGTGAGCGGTGCCACCGAGATGTGGCTGGCAGGGTCTGCACCCTGGGGGCCATGCGGCAGCGCCTGCAGCACGGAGGCAGATACTCATCCTGGCTGCTTCCCATGCAGCACGTCAGCTGAAGTTCCCCACCTTTGTCTCCCCTGGCCATAGGATTTGTCCCTGTCTCTTCTTCTGACAGCTGTGTCCATGAAATAGTCTCTCAGCTGGGATTATGCCCTTTGCTCAAGATGAAATGAGTGTCATTCAATTGAATGGCCAAAGACCGCAGCCACTCTTTAGCTCCTTTCCCAGAAAATTGAAGGTTTCGCCTGTCTGATGCTCTTAGCCTCGCTAGCCCCTGGCTCTTTGCAGCCTTTTTCTTTCTCTAACCCCTTGTAATTTTTTTGTTTCCTGTTTCAGCCGCAAGAGTGGTGATTTCTGCTGTTACATTACTAAATCCTATTTATTCCATATTACTAAATCCCATTTAATCTGTTTACTCAGTCTCTCTAGCAAGCAAGGCTTTACTGTTGTCTAATGCAAAAGTCTGCTGAAAATGAATTGCCATTCAAATGATATCTGTTCTTTTTGCATCTGACTGTTGCTTGTCAGTTGTGTGATGCTGGGCTGGTGCTGCTGTGTCATGTGTTGGGGATAACTGTCCTGGGGAAGGAATTGGCCAGTATGGGCTCAGGAAGGTGCTCTTGTTCAGAGATGGAGCCCACAAAGACTCGCGTGTGTGTGTGTGTGTGCCTCTGCCATCAGCTGAGAGCAGTGTTATGGCAGTGCCATTGCTTATTGTGCTTACAGTATTGGAAGGATGTTGTTGTGGAGTATCTACAGGTGACAATGATTCTCCACCTTTATAAGACACCTGGGCACAAGTGCCTGGTGGTTTGTGATGGTGTTGATAGTGTTAACAGGGTCAGCTTGATTTCAGTGCACACTTCTGCTGAGTCCTCACTGTCTCACTCCATATTGAGACTCCCTGAATATATTTTTCTTCCAGACTGCTTTGTACCTGCCCTTTATTAGGTTCATCTGCACTGCTTCCCCAGCTTGCTCATGAATGTCATTATTCTGATGAGGCTTTTGAAGCTCTTAAGAAATACGGTATGTTCAGCTATTCCTTTGTCCCTGTGTAGCCATGTGCAGCAGGCTGTGGCCCAGCCCTTAATAGTGGTAATTGCTGCGGTGCTGGGCTGTTCATGGTGATTCTGGGTTGACAGACTCATTCATGCTTTTATATGCAGTTGTTTTGTCTGTACGTGCATGCAGAGATTTCCTGGAGTCACCTTGCCTTCCTCTCCATGGGTTCAGTGGTGAGGTGGGCTGCACCAGCCCTGGTACCGTGGGTGAGAACATCTTGGATGAGGAAGAGTACATGTGTGAAGGCTTCAGCTGTACAGCGTAGCTGTGGCAAGCGTGGGCTAGCTTTCTGATTGCAGGATTTCTTGGGAAGGAGAGTCTTCTTTGAGCACAGGGGGTCTGAGGCCCGTGTCCATCACGGCCGCATTGCCAGAGCTGCTGGTGCGCACAGGCTGTCGAGCCCGGGTGTGAGCAGATCCGGCTGCCCCGTGGGCGAAGCAGCAGGCGCTCCCCGGGCAGCTTGCACGTGTCTTTAGGTGCTGGGGAGGGAGAAGCCTTTGGGGTTTGAACACGTCTATCAGGCACAGCCATGGGCACATGGGGAGACGTGCCCAGGCAGGAGGGTGGCAGGGGAGGTCTCTGCCAAAAGGAGCTGTTTCTCTGGAACCAGACATCTTGTAGGAAAGCGTTGGTTTGGCCAGAGAAAACTGTGTAGGTGAAACGTTTGGAACAAATCACTCGGCTGCCTCATTTAGAGGATCTATTTCAAAGTGTCTCAGTTGGACAATGTGAGATGTTTTCTTTCAGTTGTATCATTTCTGGAAATTTTGGTTCACTCTTGATTAATTTGCTGTCAGTACTAAAAGCAGTACATGGAGAGCAGTGCAGGTTTTTCTCAGTGCTGAGATGGAACATGTCAAAATTAGTTAAGCTCTAATCAAGTGTGAAATGTTTGCTGAAATTTCCCTCAGAAGAGAGTTTTTCGGACCACCCCTGGCTTCCAGGTGAGTCAGGGTCTTGGGGTGCCCCTTGGCAGCGAGCCGGGTGGGGATGAGCTTGCTCTGAGGATGCTGTGTGGCTCCTGGGGACTCTTCAGGTCACCCGGCCTGACACCTGCTGCCGCTCACGGTAGTCTCTTTGTTTGCAGTGTGAGTTGGGTTAAGACCGTTGTAAGTATTCAGCATACATGAATGTATTCATGTTGTGCGCAGACACTTTGTGTTAACGTTGGATGCAAAACATTTTCTCCAGCACTGTTTAGTGGACTAAATGCGGTACAACAGATTGTGTGGCAAATGGGCTCTTTCTGAAATGGAAGCGACAACCTTATTAATAGCACCAAGTGGAAAAAGGAAGTAAAACTGTCTCCCTTGCAAAGCGTTGAAGGGATTGCCAGTGATGTCTCTTCTCCTGTACCATCCTCCAGAGCACCCAGTTTGGGAAAGGTCTGGTTGGGGGTCTGATTTGGTATGTGTTCTGCTGGATGTCCCTGTGGGGAAGCGCTTGAACAGCTGAAAGAAACTCCAAAAGAGGTTCCTGGAAACCAGAGCAGGGCCGCAGATGTGTTCCCAGCCTGGCTGGGTCAAGGGACCAGCTCTTGTGTTGTCTCTGGTTGACTTGCACGTTTTCAGGTCCTTCAGAGCTGTTGCCCGGCGTATCTGCACTGTGTTGCTGTAATATTGCTAACTGACTTTTTGCAGACTGTGCCTTTTTAAAGCGTAGGTATGGAGCAGTGGACCAGAATGCACGCTGGGTGCCCCAAGAAGTTGAGGTAGGGCAGAAAAACCAAGCTGTGTAGGGCAGATGGTATACAAAGGTCTGTATATATGTGTGTTGAGTGGAGCACAGGGCTGCGCCCAGGGTCAGCATCAGAGCATCCATCTCCCCGGCACAGAAGGCCTATGTCCTGCCACCGGCAGCTGTGGGAGGCTGGTAAATAAGGACGAAGCTGTGGGAGAGAGCAGCTTGGGGCAAAGGATGGGAATTCCCTGGCTTGATTGAAACCCTCGTGTACAATATTTAGACTGGGAGCTTCTGTGGTGGCAGAGATACTTAAGCACCTTTCCTGCACCGAAGAGGAGGCGCTGCTGTGGTCAGCCGTCGGGCAGGCAGCTGCCTGTCTGAGCATGGGGTGTCTGCCGGGTCGCACCGCCGTGCCGGTCGGGGCAGCGGATCTGGGCCAGCACCCAGACCCGCACCGATGACCCCGTGGCATCCGCCAAAAGGACGTGGCTCTGAGCTGGCGGAAAGTCTGTGGTGCGCTGGTTGCCTCTGTCGCAGAGCTGCACCGCTGCCCCAGGCGCCGGCCGCCCTGGAGAGGGAGCGGGAGGCGAGGGGTGGCAGCGGTGGAGGATGCTGCGGCCGGGTCTCCTCCCCGCGGGTCGGTGGGGATGGCAGGAGAAGGCCGTCGTGCTCGCAGCCCTGCGCTGGAGAGGCGGGCTGGCACTCCGGCTGCTGCGCTGAGGGGCTGCCAGGTGCTTGGCTGGATGCTGCAGCGGTTTCTGGGGAGGGGAGGCAGCCAAGAGGAGCTCACACACTTTCCTCTGGGGGCACGACAGATTCTAGTGGGTGTATGTGGTGGAGGAAGGCACTGTTAATATGCTGGCAGCATTCATTTGAAAGTCATGTGCCTTTTTGACTTGTTCACTCAGCCTTTTTGATTTTTTTTTCCCCGCACTTCCCTAGGAAAGATCAGCACCTACTTTCCCCTGTGAACTGCTGGTACCTGGTTCTGACGCAGACCCGTCGAGAGAGCAGAGATCACGCCACCCTTAATGACATCTTCATGAATAATGTCATCGTTCGGCTGTCACAGATCAGTGAGGATGTCATCAGGCTCTTTAAAAAGGTAACCAAAGTAGAGATGGAGAGTTCTGCTCAGCGAGGATCCATCCTTGCATTTTAGTGTAAAATAGAAGCTCATTGTGGACTTCTACACAACTGTGCCCCCACGCCCAAAGTCTAAACAGATACAGAAAAGCCAACATTGTTAAAAAGCAGAGAAAGATAACAGGACTTTCTACAAAGTACACATCACATCTTAATGAGAAAACTAGAGAGGAGTTTGAGCTCTGGACAGTGAAACAGTAAAACCATGCTAAGGCAGGCCAAGTAAAGTTCTCAGAGGCAACTTGCTAAAGACATAAAGCAAACAAAAACTTCTCCAAAATCACAAGAAAGAAACCTGCTGCAGGATGTGAAGGGGAATAGATGGGTGAGGTGCAAAAACACTACGAGGAACAGCCAAAGGCCATCTGGCTTCTTTAGCTTGGTACTTGTTATGGAAAAGCTTAGACTAGAGATTTTCTTGGGGTGGTGTGGTGGTGTTACCAACCTGAGGAACCTTATCCAACTGAATTGCCATTAGATGTTGCAGAGCAAATCTGTACAAGGCACTATCACTTATAAGTCTTTCTAGATAATATTTATCCAAGAATTTTAAAGAAACTGAGATATAAAACTGTCAAGTGACTAGCTGCGAGGTGTGACCTGATGCTTAAACTGGTGTCAGTGCCAGAGAAATGAAATGTGGAAAACGTGATGACTTTTTTTAAAGATTCCTGGAGAGCTTCAGAGAACAGATCAGTAATCTGACTTTGAAAACAGACTTGTTGGATGAAACTTCAGTAAAGCGCAGAATGACAGGCATGTAGGCAGATACAAGAGAGGAGTCAGTGTGGCTTTCTGAAGAGAAGTCAGGCCTCAGAAAGCTAGTGGAGGTATTTCTAGGAGCCAGTGATCATGTGAATAAGTTGGCACAGTACCTGCAGTGTCTTACAGGCTTTGGAAAAGGTCCCTCGCTGAAGTGCTCAAGAAAAGAAGCTGTTGAAGAATAAGGAGTGGTTGTTTTCTGGGTTAATGACTGGTTAAGAGACAGGGAACAAAAGGAGGAATTTCAGTGGAGTTCCTAATAAATTATTTGGAAAAAGGATGAATAGTAAGATGACAAAGTCTGCTGATGATACAGAATTATTAATGATAACCAAATTAAAAATGATCATCAAAGACTTGTAGGAATCTTGCAGTGAGGTTGGACCAGGACTCTTCAGTTGAAAATGAGGGGGGAGTGTGTAATGTGATAAGAGCATGAAGAGTCACAGCAGTTTGTAGGAAGTGAGTAGAAATGAGGACCTCGTTGTGCCTGCTAACATAAACCATGGGTGGTCATCAGGCACCAGGCAGAAAGAGAACCTAAAAAGGAAAGACTTTTTAACATCATTAATACTATATATATTATATTTGCAATATTATGGGTAATGCTACATGTTTGTTGCCTCATACCATGTTTGTGAAAGCCAGATGTGTAACCCGAGTCCTCAGGTAGATGTGAAGGACTGTTCCCTATTGGAAGCTGCCCAGCCCCACCGCCGGCACAACTTTGGACTTGGGAATCACAGCCCTGCATCTTGTCACATCGTGAATGTGCTCGATGGCATCGCTGGCCCTTTTCTTCTACTTGTGGGCATTCGCTAATGACTGCCCTCAGTTATACCATGGTGGGCTAGGTGGACATTTTGCCTGGCTCTATGGCTCTTATGTTTTTCTTAATTTTTTTCAGTTGTTTTCAACAGGGGTAGCTGGAGAACTGCAGCTAGTGAGCAGGGTGAGCCTGCTGCGATGGCTGCCTCTCCAAACAGGAGAAGGGCTTCAAATCAGTGGTTATCTTGAAGTTTTAGCTTGACTGGAGAGTAAATTTAATGTGATATTTTTATGGCCAGTTTCCTCTAGTTTATAGATCTGACCTAGAAATTAAACTGCAAGGTCAGGTTTGGATTTGCTGATCTGATATGGGACATCATCCCTTTTCCTGTCCTTCTGGCCTCCAGAAATTGGACAGATTTGGGATATATTGGTTAGTTCAGTTCTAAGTCTTTCTCAAAATCTCCCTCCCATTTGCATTTTACTCTGAAGCCGTTTTTGAGATGTATATTAAGACTATACTTCTGCTGACCTTTCCTAGGTCTGTGAATGGTGTATCTCATTTTGAACCATAGGACAAATCCAGTCAACATTCAAACAAGGACATAAATAGAGTGTTTGAAGTGTTTTCTTGTAGTCAGTCCTCAGCCAGGACAAGATGATAAAGTGTTTCATCCATTCAGCAGAATTATTTCTTTGTGTTTGCTTTTCATCCATCTCTTTCCCCCACCTCTTTTGAATTTAGATTTCAACTTTTAAGGCCCAACACTTATATTCTATAGAAATTGTTGCTCCTTGTTTCTCCCTCCCCCATCTTCTGCCAGGAGAGGTGAGGTAGCACTAACTCCATCTGCAGCCTGCCAAAGCCAGCACCTGCTTTTAATCAAAAGGAGGCTTTACAATAGAGTTGTGGGGATCTGTGATTTCACTCGCATTTGTCCCTGGAGGTTTAAATTGTAGCAGAACTCACCTGGCCCTGGAAATAATGCTCAGCTAAATCATGGAAGAGGCTTATTTTGTGTCATTGTTAGTCCTTAATGTGGATAGGGAAGCTGCCACTTTTGGGGATATTCAGGTTATTTATTTTTCTTAACCTATTGCACACTGTGCCCAAAAGGGATCTGGGGCTGCGCTTCCCACTTCACAGCAGTGTTTGGTGGGAAGCCTTAGGCACATGTGTGGGAATATGACCATCCTGGTAAAAGGCTTTTTAAGATATCCAGTCCAGCCTTGCAGCTGGTACGAGATTGCTCGGAGGAGGTATCTTCCACTGTTTTATCCAGTCTGGTTTCGAGTATGATGAGTAAAGTGCTTGAAGCACTCCTCCTGGGGGGACTGTACTGTACAGGATCGTTGGGCAAATGAACCAGCTCCAGAAGGGTTAAAGGCATCTGCAGTTGTGGTTCAGCTGTTCGGTTTTGTTGTAGATTGCTCTTTGATGGTAAATTAGGGTAACATTTTTTTTCCAGATATGTCACTTTTAATTCCTCCCATCTAGAATTTATTAATGGGTTGTGACATGCTGCGGGTACGTGGAAGAGGTGGAAGGTTTTGTGCGTTGTGCTTTCATTATGTAAATGTAAACAATCTCGGCAAAGATGCAGGGATGTAATATCTGGGGTACGAGGATGCGCATAACTAAGAAGCAGTTGATCAGCGTGGTGGTAATCTGCCAAGAAAGATGCTGGGTGCTGAGCTGCTTCTCCCCTTGGCTCCCCTGGATGTGCTGGGCAGCAGCGGGGGTCATCCATCAGTAAATTGGGCCATTGGGTTTTGTTCATCTCCACCCAAGTGTTTTGCCCTCCCGCTGACCAGCAGGGTACGGTCCCTGGCGTTCGGCTGTGCATCGCTCGGGCACGCCTCTCGCCGTGGCTGGCCAGGAAGCCTTTTGGCTTACCCAAATCCAAGAGAGAGGGAAGTAGGACCTAGTGGGGATTGAGTTTTTAGTGTTTGAGTTGGAGACGTTTAACTGAGCCAGCTCCAGGTCTGACCTTGCCTCACTGAGGTCAGTGACGGCTTGCGCTGGCCTCAGCAGCAGGGCTTACGGGAAGTATAAGTTGATTATCAAAGATAGAGGAGAAGCTAGATCACATTTCTTCAGCCATTGGCAAATCTGGTTTTGCAGGCTGTGGTCCAAGCTGGGGTCCCTGCTGTGGCTGTGTTTGGTGACAGGACAGCTTTGCAGGGCGTTTGTGGCCGCAGTTGCTCCTCTGAATTGCAGCGGTACTCGAGGCTGGCTGCTCTGCTGCCGGGGAAAGCCGTGATCTCTCCAGAGCTGAGGAGCTCCTGTCAGGGCTGCAGGGTGAGCTGCAGGTTGGTGGTTCTTCTGTGGAGGCTCATCTAAGGCCGGTGACACTTGGGTTGGGGAGCTTGGCATCTTCTGCTTGTGGATCACTTCATTTTTGGCTTAATTAGTGGCAACTTTGTTAGCTTTGAAAGTGAGGAGATTGCAGCCCTTGGGGAGTTGAGTTGAACTGCAAGTTGCAGAAGTCCGCGGGGGACTCAGCAAGGGTTAGCTTCTTGGGGTGGTGATGATAGCGTCTGGGGTTTTGATGAGGTAGAAATGAGATATTTTCTGCATCCAGGATTTTAAACTCCTTCCTGAAAATTTTAACACAGAATCAAAGAGAATTTATAAAGCCAGATGTTATGCTGGTGAATCAAGGTACATCACTGAAATCAGCAGACCCACTTCGGTTGTCCATAGGCACTGCAGACAACATATATCCAGTGGCTGAGCTGACTCTTTGGCTCAGCATACCCTAAAAGGAGAAACTCTTTGTACTTAGGGAAATAGCATGTTACCTGTGAAACATTATTTACTGAAAGTATATATGTTTTTGCAGGAGGGAGAATTTGTTGATAAAGTGGTCCTGATTTGCGGAAATAGTTTGGAATCCCAGGAGAACAGAAAACTAGAATAATTTAAAATAAAACTATTGAAAATAAAAAAATGAAACTATAGGCCCTAAACCATAGTTAGAAAAAGCCCAGCAAAGCCAAGAAGGGAAATGGGTAAAGCTTATAATGAAAATACAAGAAAGAGATGGGGATTGAATTCCTGAAATTGGCAGATAGAGGAATTAAATACAGAAGCAACAACTTTTAAATAAGCATGTGTTTGTATAAAATACATGCAGCAGTGCCTTTAATGCACACATACATATATCTATGTGCATATTGAGTATATTTTTGTGACTATGTATGTTCCTAAGTAATTTGGTAAAGTAGCGCATAGAATCATATGTAGATAAATGTTAAGTGATGCACATAAGGAAGAGCAACTTTCCAACTCGGGTGCATAAGACTGGGCTCTGCCCTAAATTTTGGATGGGATGGTGGGGTTAAAGCATCAGGCTCTGAGCATGCCAGCTCAGCGCTTGCTAGCAGTCAGAAAAGAAATCAAAAGTTGGGAACTGCTGGGAACAG